TGAAGACTCCTAACTCTGGGAAACAAACAAGGGGTGGTGGAAGGGGAGGTGTGCGGGGGGTGGGGGTGAATGGGTAATGGGCACTGAGGGGGGCACTTGACGGGATGAGCACTGGGTGTTGTTCTGTATGTTGGCAAATTGAACACCAATAAAAAATAAATTTATTATTAAAAAAAAGATGAATTGATAAAGAAGGTGTGGTGTATATATACAATGGAATATTACTCAGCCATTAGAAACGACGAATACCCACCATTTGCTTCAACATGGATAGAACTGGAGGGTATTATGCTGAGTGAAGTAAGTCAATCAGAGGACAAACATTATATGGTCTCATTCATTCAGGGAATATAAAAAATAGTGAAAGGGATTATAGGGGAAAGGAGAGAAAATGAGTAGGAAATATCAGAGAGGGTGACAGAACATGAAAGACTCCTAACTCTGGGAAACAAACAAGGGGTAGTGGAAGGAAAGTTGGGTGGAGGGATGGGGTGATGGGCACTGGGGGGGAAACTTGATGGGATGAGCACTGGGTGTTATACTATATGTTGGCAAATATAACTCAAATATAATATGCAAAAAAATAAAAATTAAAAAAATTAAAAATAAATAAATAAATAAATAAATAAATAAATAAATAAATAAATTCCTTCCCTAAGGGATCCCACCTATCCTGAAGTCTGTTCTAGTCTCTCTCCTGAACTGTGGTCCTATGAGTCTAACTGTTGAAAAACATTTTACATTAATATCCTGGTATTATTTCAAATTCCCATCTTAAAACTTCTCAAAACTTCTCAAAATTTCACTCTTCTTTCATTGTGACCTCACTACATTGCATCTCTCTCTCTCTCTTTCTCTCTCTCTCTCTCACTCACACACACACACACACACACACACACACACACACACACTGTTGGAACCCCTCCCTGCACTACTTCAATACCCTGTCCATGCCTCAAGTGTAGCCCAGATTACCCTAGATTGTAATCTCTGACTTGTGGGTATGTTTGCTTTCCTCTCCCAAGTAGAGTGAAAATTCCTTAAAGGGGCAGAAATTGTATCTTAGTCACCTGTGTTTCCCCAGGGAATACTGTAGGTGCTCAATAAAATCTGTTAAGAGAAATAAATAAATATAGATGATCTGTTCCAGCCAAACTGGTCCACTGAGAGTCTCCACCTGTTTGGCATGTTCAGAGTGTCCACTCCCCAGAAGAGTCCTCTCTCTGCTGCTGCACACATGGAAAAATCCCACCCATCCTTTATAAGACTCAGCTTAAATTCTACTGGCAAAATGAAATCTTGTCAGATGACCCTATTCCAATAAGACTCCTTGCTCATCAGTCTTACAGTGACAGTTCAGTGTCATGAAAACAGGATCCATCTTTGAAGCTACATAGGCCTGATTCAAAACCAGACTGTAGTATAAACTACCTCTGCTACTCTGGACAAATTCCTAAAGCCTTCTAAAGCTTTTTTTCTCAGCTATAAAATAAGGTAAATAATACCTATCATAGAGAATCTGAGGGCGGGTGGATTAAAAGAGAGTAAACCATTACGAATATAGGAGATGTTCGGGAAATGTTAACTTCTTTCCTCATCCCACCTCCCTTTCACTTCATTTACTATCCACACGGCAGTTAAGTTGATCATGTTTGTTTTGTCTCCTCAATTAGATTGTAAGGATTAGCAAAATCCTTAAGGGCAAGAGCTAAATCTCATTCATCTCTCTGTCTTCTTCTTCTTCTTCTTCTTTTTTTTTTTTTTAAGATTTTACTTGTTTATTCATGAGAGACACACAGAGAGAGGCAGAGACACAGGCAGAGGGAGAAGCAGGCTCCCTGCAGGAGCCCAAAATGGGACTTGATCCTGGGACTCCAAGATCACGCCCTGGGCTGAGGGCAGACGCTCAACCGCTGAGCCACCCAGGCACCACCATCTCTCTGTCTTCTAAATGCCTACCAGCATGCCCTACAGGGGCAAAATAAAAATCAAGAACAACAAAATTACAGTTACAGTGGATTATGGCAATCAAGTGTAAATGGTGCCAAGACTAGACTGACGGTCATAAATTTTCATCTAATTTAGTGGTAGAATTGTTACACGGCACTTCTGCAATTTCATTCATGCCAAAGGCAGATCTCAACAAATGACAGTACAAATAAAAACAAATCAGTCTTAGAGAAAGCAGGTTAATAAGTAATCTTCGATAATAACCTTAAAGATGGCTTAAATTAAATGTTGCAGTTGGTATTAGAAGAGTCTCTATTTGTGTATTTACCCCCATGTACTTCTATGCAAAGGTTTCCTTTCACATACTCTTTAATATGATTGCAACAGATTTCTTCATACCACTTGTTAAATAACTGAACATAGATTGATATTTTAGGTTTCCCTACCAAGGTTTTTTAAAAAGTAAAAGCTAATACTGAAGCAAAATTGGTAAGATCAAGATCCAAAATTTGTGATAATTATAGGTAAAATCCATCAAAATCTCTCTTTCATTAAAATGGTTTCTTTCTGAATTGCTTTCATTAATATCAAGGCTTCAACATCCTTTCTGAACTTACTGGAATGTTTTGTTTTGTTTTGTTTTCTATCCTGATTTTTACAGCCTTCTACCACATGCTATCTTCATCAAGGATCAATTCCCATGGTTGGGCTTCATTATTTCTTTTAACCACTGCCCCACTTGCATGTGCTAACAAGTTGGAGGAGCTGCAATGTGCTGGGTAGTAACCTCTAACAATTGGCTCTTCATTAACATTCCCAGCCACATTTCCTTTCCTGAAGAAACTATTTCTACGGTTTTCATAGACTGTGCAACTGTAAATCTAATATGAAAAAGCAATTAGTAAGAGAAGAGTATGTGCCAAATACTATACCCTTTCAATATTTTCTTGCTTTCAAGTACTTTTTGTACTGTTTTGTTTCTTCCCCATATGGAGAAGTTTATGGTAAGAAATAGAGGCAATCTATTTTATCAGACCAAATCCACCAGAGTAGAAAGTACATACACACGTTCATAGAGAAGGACAGACCCAAAAGCCAGGGATCAAAAGATCAAGTTTCTAATTTCAGTTCAACCACCTATTTTATACTGTTAGTCAAAATCATAACCTCTCTAAGCTTCAACATCTTCTTTCATATACTAAAGATAATAACACATCCCTATTTCAGCACCTTGCTTCAGAGATTATAAAATCATAAGATCAAAAATGGCACTGTATAATTATAAAATGTGTGTATGTATAATATATATTAATATATTTCTGAATAATAGTAATGCCATAGCCTATGGGTAGATAAAAAATAATTTTATATCATGTATTAAAGTGCCAATTAGGGATGCCTGGGTGGTTCAGCGGTTGAGCGTCTGCCTTCCACTCAGGGCTTGATCCCGTGATTTGAGATCGAGTCCCACATAGGGCTCCTTGCAGGGAGCCTGCTTCTCCCTCTGCCTATGTCTCTGCCTCTCTCTGTGTGTGTTTCTCATAAATAAATAATAAAATCTTTAAAAAAATAAAGTCCCAATTAAATACTTCCCTAGACAAATTGTTACACCAAATTCTATATACAGTGCGTCCAAGGAATTTTTTTTTCTTTTAGAAACAGAATCTAACTGGGAAATATGTTCACAGTCCAGTTAATAATTTTTGGAGCAAGTATCATTCTCTAATCTGATGGGCACTGAGGAGGGCATTTGATGTAATGAGCACCGGGTGGTTTTATTTTTTTAAGATTTTATATATTTATTCATGACAGACACAGAGACAGAGGCAGAGACAGAGGCAGAGGGAGAAGCAGGCTCCCTGCAGAAAGCTGGATGTGGGACTCCATCCCAGGACCCCGGGATCACACCCTGAGCTGAAGGCAGAGGCTCAACCACTGAGCCACCCAGGTGTCCCAGCACTGGGTGTTAAATGCAACTCGTGAATCACTAAACTCTACCCCTGAAACTAATAATATCCTATATGTTAAATAAATTGAATTTAAATTTTAAAAATTTGGATTTATATTCTTGCAAGCAAAATTTTAATCACAATCATAATATACCTAAACTCTCCCTTTGGGATCAATCAAACTTAGAGTAAAGAAAGTACTGGAGGTTAGTTTTTCATATCTTGTGCTAAGAATTTCTGCATTATAGTTTTCAAATAAGCCTTCACTATGATGAATTTAAAAGTTAAAAAATCCAGAATAACTTCATGATTTTAGATTTTAAGGTTAAAAAGAATAGTACCATTATTTGCAGATTCCCACATCATTACTCACTTCCAACTCACTAAGCTAAACTCATTAAACTCACTTCCAACTCACTAAACTCACTTCCAACTCACTAAACTCACTTCCAACTCACCAACTCACTAAAAGTATCAATATACTTTCATTCTCCAAATAAATTAAGACTCCCGATAAATATATACATATATACATATTTCCAAATTGTGTTTTAATGTATATAACTTTTTATATGTGGCAACTTTTGAACACTAAATAAACTGTTTAGCATATGTTTTTTTTCTTTTTGGTTGCTTGCATTCTCTACAAGATTTCCATTAGAACATGATTCTAGTAGACTTTGTTAATTGCTGTTTCAATTCATTAAAACTGTTTAAAACATGGAATTTGAAATATCTTATTTTAACTAGAATTTTGTAGCTAAAATTCTTTTTCTAAACTTTGCAAACATTCCACGGAACCTAAATTAGTGCTGAGAAAAAAAAATGGATTTAAGTTGCTCAATGTTCTTCAAAAGGTGAAAAAGCACAATGAAACATAAGCTCATCTGAACTACACCCATTTTCAATTTCAACATAGTAAAACTCCTATTTGTTCTTAGGGCAAATTCAAAACCATACATATTGGAATTGGCTATTACTGAAGATAATGTATGCAATCATAAGTAAAGATGCTAAATTGGCAAAAAGAAAACCATGCAAGTAAGCAAACTTTAACACATGTGGGACACACCCTCTCAGTATATAAAGGCTTGTCACTGTCCTTGGTAGCAAGCACTCCCTGAGCTAAACAGCATCACCATGTCTGTTGGATACAGCTCAAGCAAGCAATACTCTTCCTCCCGCAGTGGGGGAGGAGGAGGTGGAGGAGGAGGAGGATCATCCTTCAGAATTTCGAGCAGCAAAGGCTCCATTGGTGGAGGATTTAGCTCAGGGGGGTTCAGTGGTGGCTCCTTTAGTCGCGGGAGCTCTGGTGGAGGCTGCTTTGGGGGATCATCAGGTGGCTATGGAGGATTAGGAGGAGGTTTTGGTGGAGGTAACTTTGGTGGAGGCTATGGAAGCAGTAGCTTTGGTGGGGGCTATGGAGGAGGCAGCTTTGGAGGGGGAAGCTTTGGAGGGGGCAGTTTTGGCGGGGGCGGCTTCAGTGGAGGCAGCTTTGGAGGCTATGGGGGTGGATATGGAGGAGATGGTGGCCTTCTCTCCGGAAATGAAAAAGTAACCATGCAGAATCTGAATGACCGCCTGGCTTCCTACTTGGACAAAGTTCGGGCTCTGGAAGAATCAAACTACGAGCTAGAAGGCAAAATCAAGGAGTGGTATGAAAAGCATGGCAACTCAAGCCAGAGAGAGCCTCGTGACTACAGCAAATACTACCAAACCATCGAAGATCTTAAAAATCAGGTAAGGTTCATTTTTAAAATCCAACTTGAAGCCTATTTTTTATCCATGCAATTCAGAGAGATGAATCTTAACCACAATATAGCTATTCACTGTGTTTGCCTGTGTTACTTTTCTTGCTTCCAAAAAAAATCCAGTCTTATCAAAGGTAAATATTTGTGAGGATATGGTCACTGAAATCTTCAGCATGTGTGTTGTGTATTTTACAGGATGGCAGATTACTGAGGCTTTTTTAGGCTCTAATAAGTGTATGAGTCCATAGTTAAAATACCATATCGTTTACAAACATAGGAACTGAAAGAATTATTAAATGAATCAAAACAAAATATTATTCAGATTGATAACAAAAAAATATTCATTACCACTTACAAGCAATGTGAATTCTCCAGTATGGAAATGGGATACTGTTTGCTTCTTGAGAATTTGTGAATTGTACCTACTATGTGCCAGTCCAGAGTGTATGCATTTAGAATATATACTTAAAACAACTTAAACCAAAAGGTATGAGTCAGTCAAAAGTTGGCTGAAATACATGGAAATCACCCAGGATAAAAGTGGGCGACACACATGCAGGAACACAGCTATATAACTACAGTTAGTTTTTGGAAAAGGATGAATACAGAAATAGAAAAAGTATAGAAATTTCAAGAAAACAAATAACTCAGAATTAGTAGCTGGGTAACCCTGCAATATTTAAGACAAAAATACCCCAAGATTTTGTAAGAGCACATAAAAATACAGTTTATCTATGCCACCATAAAAGCCATATCTGTATCGGATTTTCTTTGCCTCTCCCTCCAGATCCTCAATCTAACAACTGATAATGCCAATATCCTGCTTCAGATCGACAATGCCAGGCTGGCAGCTGATGACTTCAGATTAAAGTAAGCTAAGTGAACATGGCACAACACTGTCACAGCAAATACAGGAGTTGCTTTTAACAATGACTTCGGATGCCCACATTTACATTTTCTTAACTTCATTCAAAGTTAAACAGTGTTGGAATCATCAGAAAAAATTTCAATTTCAATATCACCTTTTTGGCAATATTTTTGGCAAAGAAGAAAATGCATTTTAAAGTAGCTGTGCTAAGCTTCTTGGCATTAAACCACTAATATCCCTATGTGAATTAGTATACTAAGAAATGTTGCCATGATGCGAAGTAAACTCTATATTTGCTTTGTAAAAAGTCTCAGCCCAAGTATACCTCCCTTATGTAAGTTGTACCCAGTATTTGTACTATGCCTGTTTCAGGTATGAGAACGAGGTAGCCCTGCGCCAGAGTGTGGAGGCTGACATCAACGGCCTGCGCCGGGTGCTGGATGAGCTCACCCTGACCAAGGCTGACCTCGAGATGCAGATCGAGAGCCTGACTGAAGAGCTGGCCTACCTGAAGAAGAATCATGAAGAGGTGATGCAAAAAGTTATACTTCCCCCAGCCAAAAAAAAAAGGGGGGGGGTTCATTGTGATCATGGTGTAGTCATTAAACTTTTCTGCTCCTCAAACAGGAAATGAGAGACCTTCAGAATGTGTCCACTGGTGATGTAAATGTAGAAATGAATGCTGCCCCAGGTGTTGATCTGACTGAACTCCTAAATAACATGAGAAACCAATACGAACAACTTGCTGAACAAAACCGAAAAGATGCTGAAGCCTGGTTCAATGAAAAGGTAATTCATCTTCCTTCATATCGAGGCCAATGGATGTTTGGTTATCATTTCAGATTTTTCTCATCTTTTCCTGTTTTTAATACTCTAGAGCAAGGAACTGACTACGGAAATCAACAGTAACATTGAACAAATGTCCAGCCACAAATCTGAGATTACTGAATTGAGACGCACTGTTCAAGGTCTGGAAATCGAACTACAGTCCCAACTAGCCCTGGTATGTTAACAACTCTCTCGAAATAACTTCAACTTAACCAAAGTTTCGTGCCCGCATAAGGATATGCAACTCAAGAGAAAAAAACAAAAGGAGGGGGGGTACGAATGTAGAAATAAAATTGGAGCACTTTGTTAATGGGAGAAAGTCAGTGGCACCACTGTACACAGGCTAAAGTTAAAATTTTACCATTAAGCATAAAACGGGGCACCTGGGTGGCTCAGTGGTTAAGCGTCTGCATTTGGGCTCAGGTCCTGGTCCCAGGGTCTTAGGATCAAGTTTCGCATTGGGCTCTCCTCCAAGAGCCTGCTTCTCCCTCTGCCTGTGTCTCTGTGTCTCTCATGTGCCAATAAAACCTTTTTCAAAAATACACAAAACACAAATCCCATTCATTTTCTTTAATCTTCTGATGTCTTATTAAATCAGGAAATAACCTTCATTGTATTCAGTCACACAGTGAAGTCACGCAGTCACCCTATATTCTCGGCTCTTTGCAGAAACAATCCCTGGAAGGCTCCTTGGCAGAAACAGAAGGTCGCTACTGCGTGCAGCTCTCACAGATTCAGGCCCAGATCTCCGCTCTGGAGGAACAACTGCAACAGATCCGAGCTGAGACGGAGTGCCAGAATGCCGAGTACCAACAACTCCTGGATATTAAGATCCGATTGGAGAATGAAATTCAAACCTACCGCAGCCTGCTAGAAGGAGAAGGAAGGTGAACTATCAACTCTCCCAGCTGGCTTTATGCAATGCCCTAAATCTCCAGGCTTTTCCAAAACCCCAAGAAGTGCTGCCAAAGGAGGAGAGGGGGGAAGCAGAGTACAGGAAAAAAAGGCGTGTGCAACCACAGCTTCAACTGCCCATGAATTGGGATTCTGGGGGTTGTGTGCTTATCAGACCGGCGCTAGCAATGGGTTTTAGAATCTATACTTGGCAGGGTTTTTTCTCTTTTCTTTTCTCTTTTTTCCTCTCGAAACACGTTTTGCTTACTTTCAAAGTAACAATAACGTGGAAAGCGACCCACCAGTTCCCAAAGTTCAAGCTAACCGAGCACGCCTCTCATTCCTGGTAGTTCCGGCGGCGGCGGCTACGGCGGCGGGCGCGGCGGCGGAAGTTCCGGCGGCGGCTACGGCGGAAGTTCCGGCGGCGGCGGCTACGGCGGCGGAAGCTCCGGCGGCGGCTACGGCGGAAGTTCCGGCGGCGGCGGCCACAGCGGTGGTCACAGCGGTGGTCACAGCGGTGGTCACGGCGGTAGCTCGGGCGGCGGCTACGGCGGCGGCAGCAGCTCCGGCGGGGGCGGTTACGGCGGGGGCAGCTCCGGAGGCGGCGGCGGCCACGGCGGTAGCTCGGGCGGCGGCTACGGCGGCGGCAGCTCCTCCAGCGGAGGTCACAAGTCTTCGTCTTCCGGGTCGGTTGGCGAGTCCTCTTCTAAGGGACCAAGGTCAGCAGAAACTAGCTGGGGTAATCAGCATTAGTTTTAACTTTCTGTGATGGTTGTGTTGCTTTTTACGCCCTAGTGCTTTTTTAAAAAATTAAAACGTGGGGCGCCTGAGTGACTCAGCGGCTGAGCGTCTGCCTTTGGCTCAGGTCGTGATCCCGGGGTCTTGGGATCGAGTCCCACATCCGGCTCCTCACAGGGAGCCTGCTTCTCCCTTTCCCTCTTTTCTCTATGTGTTTCATTAATAAATAAATAAAATATTTTTTTAATTAAAATCCCAGAGAATATTCCCACTTGCGTTTTTTTAGGAAACTATACTTTTGACCTCCATCTTGAAGGAAAAAAAAAAAAGTCATGGTCCAAGATGCTGTCGTTTAAACATTGTTCGGATTTTTTTTTTTTAATGTAGAAAACGAATTTCCTTTTTTTAATGTATATTTTACTTCTTAGAAATTTTGATTAATTAGTGAGGACCCCACACACACACACACTCACACACAAATCGCCTCATCTGAATTCTTTTTTCTCGTGATTCATGTACAGATACTAACAAAACCAGAGTGATCAAGACAATTATTGAAGAAGTGACACCTGATGGTAGAGTCCTTTCGTCTATGGTTGAATCAGAAACCAAGAAACACTACTATTAAGCTGCGTCAAGAGGAAAGAGTCTCCCTTCACACAGACCATTATGTACAGGTGCATGAACAACAAAATCTCCAAGGAAACACTTCAGTCTTAATGGTCTACGGAAATTGGTTCACTCCTTGAAAATAAGGTGTCTGAAAGGTGTTTTGTGGTTTCTGTATTTCTTCTTTTCGCTTTACCAGAAAGTGTTTCTTTCATGGAAAAAAAAAATCTTTTCTATTCTCATTCACTAATGAATTCCAATAAACTTTCTTACTGATGCAAGCTATCCAAGATGGTCAGAATTGTCTTTATTTAAATTAAGTGGTATTTTTAACCTTACAGATGAATGAACTATAGTACTTGAAGGTTGATTTATCTAGAAATTCTGAAGACATTAAAAAAAGGGTGGGCCCACCCAGGTGGCTCAGTGGTGGAGCATCTGCCTTTGGCTCAGGGCGTGAGCCTGGCATCCTGGGATCGAGTTCCACATCCAGCTCCCCAGGAGGAGCTTGCTTCTCCTTCTGCCTATGTCTCTGTCTCCCATGAGTAAATTTTTTAAAAATTCTGAAGACAGAATTATCATTATGATTTCTCTTGAGTAAGTTTTTTAATCTTATGGGTATGTTGGATCAACGTCAGTAATCTCACCGAGTGAAAAGTCTGAGACCCCAACCTTAACTCTTTCTTAAAGATGCACAATATATGGAAAACTCCCAGTGCTCTGGCTTTGAATTATTTCAACCCTGACAATTCTAAAATATCTCAAATAAGACCCCAAAGATCGAGTTATTGGAAATTTCACACTTCCTGATTACTTGGCTTCTCCCATTTGCCTACCCTCATTTTCTTCCCCTTCATTTCTGCCCAATTACTATATACTGTAAGAGATACCATCCACCATTTACCAGGCCAGTAAAATATCACCCCAACAAAATTATTTGGTGTCTATCATCAGACAAACAAACACTGATCAAGACATGATGATACCAATTGTACCAAAGAGCCAACTCTAGGTCCCAGCTTTCACCAAACTTTCTCTGTCTAGGGACAAATGCTAAAGACCTGGTATTTGTAGGGTCAACCCAATCATATCCTTCAGTCACTCAGAAACCAACTGATATTACTTAGTACTCTGCTAGTATATAGAATAGATGGGTTTATTAAGAGCTGGATTTATTCTTTGTACCTAAGATTACCTTGTGTTCCCTGGTGAGTTCCTAGTTGACCCATGTCTACCAAATAGCCTTCTTCTGCACTCTTACTGATTTGAGCTTGTTTTCCCCAAGACCTGAGCTCTGGTCCCCAGGTCATTTACTTGGGACTCATGGTGGGTATACCCTACCCTCTGTACTCCAAACTAATGACCAGTCATATTTCAAAATGAATGGACTTCCCTATAGTCAGAGCTCCATGACCTACCCAACACCAAATACTACCATAGTTCAGAAATTCTACTTTAGTTGGCATATCTATTTGCCAGACCCCCTTCTTCAGAGCCAGTCTCCTAAACTTCACTGTTGAAGTCCCAACACGCCACACTGTAAAACCCTAAAACAGATGTTGCTGGGTAAGAACTCTGAGCTGCCACTGTGTATATAATGACTGCTGTTAGAAACACTACCTTTTAAAATCCCTAACAAAGTTAACCAAGTCCTAGGATTTAGAGTAATTAAAATCTGAAACAGCCATTCTTACTCTGAAGAAATAAGTGTTTTTATATTCAGTATCACAAAAAGATAAATATGTTTCTATGAGATCATTGTGTTTGTTATTAGGCTTTGTCTCATACCCATTCCCATCACCACCACCACCTAACCCTCCACCCCAAACCAGGATCTCAGCTGGTCAGAGTACTTCATCTAGTTGGGTGGTGACCCAAACCTTCTTTCCTGAAAGTTCTAAATTGTAGTTCTGTCTTCTTACCTTTTCAGTCTTCCAATACCTTCTTAAACAATTACTTACATTACATTTTCTCTGATAAAGTAATCATCTCTGATAAAGAACTGCTTTTTGAATGTTAACTTACTGTGAAAATTCTTTCACTGTATAGATAAGCCATGCTGTACACTTTAAATAGTGGTATATATCAATTATATCTCAAAGCAAAAAAAAATTTAAATAGAACTTTCTGAACTGGACTCAAACTGTACTTTAATAAAGACTGCCTAAACAAAGTTTGATTTTAACAAGGACATTGGTATTTATAGTTCACAAAAATTAACTGTACAGATCACTATTGTTATTACATGGGTTTATCATGTAGCTATTTAAGCAAGACAGTGTCCAGTGAAACCAGCAGAGCCAATTCTGGCACTCATGTGGAATCCTACTAAACAGCAAAAGCTTGTCTCTCTAGAAGGATTTGCATTGTGCTGCTTAAAGCTTTGCATCAGGGGTCTGACATCTGTGACGGCTCAATTTTGCTAGGGCATGGCGAAATAGTTACGGCCAGTTTCCCCTTAGTTATAGGGGAAATAGCTTGAGTAAGGTAACTAAGGTCCACCCAGTATCCAATCTACATTGCATCAAGAGAGTGAGAATTAGGAAAAGAGATCATCTGTGACTTAAAGCATACATTTCAAAGTCAGTGGTTCCTTGTCTTCATATTCTGACACTGGCATTTACAAATCATGTAGTTTGGACAAATTACTTCAACCCTTCTGAGTCCCAGTTTTCTTATATATATAATAGAGATAATAACTACTTCATTGAGATTATTGTGGGGATGACTTAATGCCTACAAAACCCTTAAAGAATGCCCTCCATGGAGTAGACACTGAAGAAACTATTCTATTTTGCACAGAGAGGAAAACCATCAACAAAATGAAAGGGCAACCTACTGAATGGAAAAGATCTTTGCAAATGCTCTATCTAATGGGGGTTAATGTCCAAAATATATAAAGAACTTACACAACTCAAGACACAAAACACACACGTGCAAAGACAAAATCCAGCTAAATCTGGGAGAACACATGAGTGGACAGTTCTCCAAAGAAGACATACAAATGGCCAACAGACACATAAGACGATGCTCGACATCACTAATTATCAGGGAAATGCACATCAAAACCGTAGTGAGATATTACTTTATACCTGTCAGAACAGCTAGAATGAAAAAGAAATAACCAGTTGGCAAAGGTGTGGTGAACATTCGTGCTCCATTTGCAGGAATGTAAATTGGTACAATCACTGTGGAAAACAGTATAGGGTTTCCTCAAAAAATAAAAAATAGGAATACAATATTATCCAGTAATTCCACTACTGTAATATTAGTCGTAAAATTAAGGATAAGATATCTTGCCATTTGCAACAGCACTGATGGACCTAGAGGGTATTATGCTAAGTGAAATAAGTCAGACAGAAATACAAGTACCATATGATCTCACTTAAATGAGGAATCCAAAAAACAAAACAAAAGGCAGAAACAGACCCATAAATACAAAAAACAAACTGATGGTTGCCAGAGGGGAGTGTGGCAAGGAGATGTACACTGAGTGAAGGGGAATAGAAGATACAGGTTTCTAGTTATGGAATGAATAAGTCACAGGGATGAAAGGTACAGCCTAAGGAATATAGTCAATACTATTGATATAGTTGCTTTGCATGGTGACAGATGGTAGCTACACTTGTAAGCACAGTGTAAGTATTGAGTTATCAAATTGTGATGTTGTACACTTGAAACTAACGTAATATGTGACAACTATACTTCAATTAAAAACAAAACATTTTGAAAAATATTTTCAAAATATTTTTAAAAAACTGAAAAAAAACAATCCTGAAATTTGGTATCTACTATAAGTTTTTAATTCTGTTCCTTTAATGTATCTGCTTTTATTCCTTAGTTATATTTTTAAAGGGTATATAAACAGTCTTTATAATGTGTGCCCCTGGTCATGTATTAAATAAGCCCAAATAAATAAAGGTTTTATAAAGAAAATAAAACCACACACACACCAAACAGTATTCTGTTCATCGTCAGAGAAGTATGTTTATTGGCTATATAATCTAGTTTCTCCAAAGATGGATATGAGCATCACAATAAATTGTCAGAGCAAGTGATCATTAACATAGTCTGCCATGGGGTAGAGATCAAGGTGAGATTGCCGTTCTGGAGCTGCAAAACAAAATTCCAGACAGTAAGAATAGTGGCAAGAGTGTATCACAAAGAATTAGGACTAACATAGTCCTGTGAACCTGAGGTCCAATAAAACAGCAAAAGGTTTGTAAAGGTAAGTGGGAAGGACCAGATGACTGTCCCAAAGGTTTGAGATAGTTGACCATCCCTAAAAGCTATAGCTGTGGTCACCCTGATCATGAGGCAAATGACCCACGCTGCATCTTTGAGTGACAAAGAGAAACAAGTTATCACAATAAAAATAAATGCAGCCTGGAAACCAGGTATGAAGCATATTTTTTTTAAAGGATACTTTTTGAACTAGGTTGTCCTACAGAAAGCCATGCCAAAGGATGAAGGACTCTTTGAGTTGTCACATTGCTTTTCAGTGTCTCTTAATAAAAACACAAACATCATCTCACACCTCAACACTGAATAAGAGATCCTTGCAGCCTAGTGCCAGTTAGAAAGGGAATTACTGTGAATTAGTACAAATATTGGACATTACCTGGGGGAAGAATTTGAGTAATGCTCTCAAAATACTTTTGTCCTTTGGGATTTTAGCAAAGAAAAAAAATCACATACTTAAGCTTCTAATTAACCTTTCCTACTCAGAATAAGTTCTCTCAAAAGAAATGCTTGAAAAGCATGAATAAATAGGTTCACAGGCGAGCTGAGCCATAACAAAGCTAATGACCTTTTTGGAAGAGAACTCTCATTCAAGTTTTGACCTATAGAGCCTCTGGAAGGTTTTCTAAAGTAAGAAATGTGAAGGGAAGACAAGAAAACAAAATGGCACCAAAATGCACTTCAGTAGATTGAAAATAGTTGTAAAGATAAAAGCAAGTGGGGGGTGGCTAATAAATACATAAAAAGATCATGCTCAACATCACTAATCATTAGGGAAATGCAAATCAAAACTACCATGAGATACTACCTCACACCCATTAAGAAAGCTACCATCAATAATAATAATAATAACAACGACAACAACAACAGAAAACAGCAAGTTTTGGCAAGATTGTGGAGAAACTTGAATCTTTGTCCCCTCTTGGTGGAAATGTAAAATGGTATGGATGCTGCAGAAGTCAATATGATGACTTCTCAGAAATTTTTTTTAAAAGTACCATATAAGGGGCACCTGGGCAGCTCAGTGGTTGAGCGTCTGCCTTGGGCTCACATCATGATCCCAGGGTCCTGGGATGGAGTCCCATATCGGACTCCCTGCAGGGAGCCTGCTTCTCCCTCTGCCTATGCCTTTGCTTCTCTCTCTATTCTCATTCATGAGAATAAATAAAATATTTTTTTTAAAAAAAAGTACCATATGACTTTGCAGTTTCACTTCTGGGTCTAAAGCCAAAAGAATTGATATTAAGGTCTTGAAGAGATATTTGTGTGTGCCACATTCACAGCAGCATTATCCACAGTAAGGGCTTGGAAAGCATTTATTTTCTTCCCCTCTGTATGCCCTGCTACTCATACAGTGCCTTATGCATAGTATGTGCTCATTAAATACTTCTTGAATGAACAAAAAATGAATGACTGACACCTGATAGGCAGCATAACTGTAATCAAAAGTTTCATTTGGCTATTAACTAGATATTCTGGAAAGAATTTTGTAAGAATTATGTTTATGTTTTTCATTAAAGAGATTTTGGCATCATTTGAGTTACTTTTCCATCTGACTTTAAGATAACTGTACTTAACAGAAGAACCACCACACTGAATCCCAAGGTCTATTCTGGCCTGATTCACCCTGCTTCATGTTGTATGTCCCTAAACAGTCCTTGTCCTCTGTTTTCTCATCGTTAAATCAGAAGGAAATCTCTCTTACTAATTCCCAGATGTTTTGTAAGGTTCATATAAGATAATGTACAAAAAATCTCTTTGGAAGCTGTAAAGCACCATATAAACATAAGGAAAGCTTGTCTTTATACTCTTCATACTCTGAACTTTGAGAAGATAAATATTGAGGTTGCTTTTTACCAAGGGTTTAATAATTTCCAGCTGAAGGCTCAAAGGACCCAATCTGAAGTGGTGAGTCAGCGCCAAGCAACATCCATTTGCAGGTGAGCGCTGCCCCCTGGTGGAAATGAAAGGTCAGGGACAATTGCTGTGAACGGTGTGGGATCACCAGGGGTGATGCTAATGAGGGAAGCAAGTTATTTCAATTTAAGCTTTAAAAAAAAAAAAAAAAAAAAAACTTCTTTCCCTTTTGTGTCACAAAATGTTCTTTGGAAATTTTTTTTACATCTGAAGGATGCATACACATTACACCAAAAATTTGTTTAACTTATTTACAGCTAATAATCAGACACTGAAGAGATTTATAATTCTTCATGTTTTAATATTCTAATTTTTTAATATTTAAATTTCAATAATTCAGCAACTTAAGAGAATAATTTCACAATTAATATAACATGTTAAGACTATTGAGGGAATTATATAAAATATGTATTTGTATGGGTGTAAATCATTTAGAGAAATTATTAGTATCTTAAAATAGACTCATGATGCCAGACTCTCAGTCCTATCTAGAACATATGCCAAATCTTCATCTGGCATGTTCCTGGTGACTCTGAACAAATCGTTTAACATTTACAGCCCTCAGCTTGCCCCATCAAAAAAAGGGGCTAAATTAGATGTCTAAGACCTTCTGCTGCTTTAAAAAATCCTACAGTTTTGCCCAGAAAGTGCATTTAAAGGCCATGCCGATGACAGCCACAGTGCTAGCTGACCAGGCTTCAGACTGCTTGTACCAGCACAGTTCCAGGAGACACCCTGACTGTCCTGGAGGCAAAACAGTTTTATGCCTGTCTTCACCACAGAATCTGGAACCAGTCAAGCCCAACCAAATCCCTCCTATCCCTCCTTTTCCTGTCCTCTTCACCTGCTTCACCCCCACCTTCCTGGCAACTGCCTCAAGAGGAGGCTTCTCAGGTCAATTCCTGCTCACCTCTCCTGCCCTCTCAGCTAGACTGCCTCTCCCCTTCCCACACACATACCCAGTCAAACTCTTTGACAGAGAAGGTTAAACACGATCCAGCTTCTGCCTGACATTTCTTTTTTTGTTTTCCAACCATACATTTCTTAGAGACTGTACCCATATCTTTTCCATCTCTGAGTAATTTACCATCATGTCTTCATTTTTTAATTTAGCTTTGAACACCAGATATAGTAGCCATACATGTTAAATAAAGGAATCAGTTTATATCTACGTTATTGTTCAAGGTAATAAATAGATGTTATAATCATAGTAAGACCAGAGAAGTTACCAGGATCATATTTTTTAAATGACACATTTATTTTTTGCTATGACAGGATAAAATATGTTTCTTTACATATTTATGGTTATTTTTTATGGTTATAATTAATGGTTCTCTTTTTTTAAGATTTTATTTATTTATTTATTTGAGAGGGAGAAAGCATGAACAGGGGAGGGACAGAGGGAGAGAGAGAAGCAGACTCCTCACTGAGCAGGGAGCCTGACAGGTGGCTCAATCTCAGGACCCTGGGATCATGACCTGAGCTGAAGGCAGACACTTAATCGACTGAGCCACTCAGGTGCCCTTAATGGTTCTTTATATACCACCCTGGTAATTAAGACCCTACTGTAGCTAGTTGGTGGCACCCTATCACAATCAAACTTTTAAGACTTTATATCTGGTGTCAGGTAATGACAGTATATTCCTAGGGTCTAGATGAAAGTAAAGGATTACTCACCCAAAATTAGAAGTTAAAATAATGAACTTAATATAGACTGAACCCTGTTATATTTAAGATAACAAATATCCTGAAGCAATAGCTAGGGATGTTAGACATCAGATTACAAAAAAAAATCTAATTATACATAATTTCATGCTAATCTGGATGATGCCATTTTTCTTCTGGCATGCATAACTTAAATAGAAACACCCAATAATTGTGTATAAAAGCTCAAAGAAACCATCAGCAGACAATATTCTGTTCACCTTTGAAGTTACAACTATCTTGTTACAGACAAGGTGAACGTTTCTCTTTCTGTCATGTCTCTCCGATTTTCTAGTGGGTCCAGACATATTTGCTTATGGTCTGGAACTGGATCTGCCAGGCCATCCAGTGGAGGCTCAGGCTTTGCAGGCAGCAATGCATGTGGCAGCTCCTTTGCTGGAAGTGGATTTTCCTGTGCCTTGGGAGGGGGCCTGCGCAGTATTCCTGGGGGGAACCATGCTGGTGGTGTCTTTGGAAGCGCTGCTTGTTCTGGCTTTGCTGGAAGTGAAGGGGGACTTCTGTCTGGGAATGAGAAGGTGACCATGCAGAATCTTAATGACCGCTTGGCATCCTACCTGGATAACGTGCGAGCTCTGGAAGAGGCAAATGCTGAACTAGAAAGGAAAATCAAGGGTTGGTATGATAAGTATGGACCAGGATCTTGCCGTGGACTTGATTATGACTATAGCAGATACCATCTAATAATTGAAGATCTTAAGAATAAGGTGAGGAATCACAAATCTGAAAATATTCAAAGTATTTAAAGCTAAGAATTACCTAGCAAAAAGACATAGAACATGAACAGGAAATGCTTCATAACTGTTATCTGTCATTTATATTCATATTTATTTATTATTTATGTTCATAAATAATTCTTCCTATTAGTCAAAAATAAGCACTTTGATGCATGAATTTCAAGTAGCTTAAATGTTACTAGTTTTGAAATATATTCATTGATAAGAAAGTGTTGCATTCTAAAAGTTACATGAGTAGATGAGAAGAGATAATCATATTTGTAATTTTTAGAAATTAAAATTCTAAATATTTTGGTTGTCACTTGAGGAAATGAGATATTTTAAAGATTTTATTTGTTTATTCATGAGAGACACAGAGACATAGGCAGAGGGAGAAACAGGCTTCCCCCACTCCCACCCCCTCACCCCCATCCCTGTGGGGAGCTCCATGCAGGACTCGATCCCAGAACCCCAGGATCATGACCTGAGCCAAAGGCAGACAATCACTGGGCCACCCAGGTGCCCCAGGAAATAAGATTTTTACGCAAAAGTTCATTGTGTCACAGTTTTTATTTCCTGAGATAACAAATTATAAGAGCAGGCTTATTTGTTGTGTCCTCCCTTTTGATTTCTTCTAGATTATCTCTTCCACTACCGCTAATGCTAATGTAATTCTACATATTGACAATGCCAGACTGGCTGCTGATGATTTCCGGCTAAAGTAAGTGATAGAAAACAAACACTCTCTAGAAAAAGTTTCCTGTCTGTTTAATATGTTAAGTAAAATTTCAATTTCATCCCAAGTAAAATAAACTATAAAAGATTAAGGAAAGTAATGCATGTTATAATACAACAACACCCTATGACACAAAGCATGTTATTACAATCAGCTATACTCGCAGTTTATATATGTTTATTACATTCTTGGGACAAAACACCACTGTATTTCTATGCCTGGAATAGCGCCAAGCACTATTCCAGGCATAGCTCGTAAATATGCATCAAGCAAGGAAAAATAGTAACGAAAATAAAATTCTAAAATGGCATATTTTTATTTAATCAGGATCTGCTATCAGAATTTGTATCATTAAATAACTGCCAATTTCCTTGCATAGAACTTGGTAAAAGGAGTGGAGGAAGGCTTTCGCTGTATGCTTTTATGACATTTTGAGTCCCAATTCAATTTCCAATGTGCCGCTGAAAGCAATCAAAGTTTTATTTTATTCTACCTCTTGAAGTAATCTAACCTGTGCTGAAATTCATTGAATGCTCCCCAAGGTACGAGAATGAGCTTGCCCTTCACCAAAACACAGAGGCTGACATCAACGGGCTGCGGAGAGTCCTGGACGAATTGACACTCTGCAGGACTGATCAGGAGCTGCAGTATGAATCCCTGAGTGAAGAGATGAGGTATCTCAAGAAGAACCATGAAGAGGTAGGAGAAACTGTACTTCTAGTCAAATCATGATTCTGTACGTTTTAAATACTTTGGGGGGACATTAAATTACAACAGTATTGTTTAAATTATTATAATAGGCTTTTTACTATATGCATTTTTACTATATATGTCATTCATATAATATTAGTTATTATATTAATTATAACTATTAAAATAGTATGCCCATTGTAATAATTTAAACAATGCCAAGGCACATAAGAATTTTATTTCTCCCACTCTCTAACCTTCTAATCCCATCTCCCAAGGTTATAAATATTAACCATTTGATCTGTACCCTTCCATTTGTTTAGGCTGATATAATATTTTATCATTTTGAAAATGGTGCATTGCTTTTGCATTCATACACCCATCTCTGTTTGCACTAGATTATTTCTTTCATTCATAAATGTCTATCCTGAGGTCAACCTTCTCACAGAAGACCTCTCTATGAATGTCATTGTTTTCTCCACTTAATGAGTCTGGCTTTACTTGAGTGTTGAACCCGCCCAATAATATATTATTATTATTATTTATTTTCATCAATAGTTATTCCTATTAGTCAAAAATAGGCACTTTGATGCATGAATTTCAAGTATCTTAAATGTTACTGGTTTTGAAATATATTCGTATATTGTATGTATTTATGTATAGGGTGTATCATTATTTGATACATTATACCAAGCAGCTTCAAACTCCTTTAAAAAAAAATGATTATCCCCAAAATAGTCTCCAAAACAATAGATGATTAAGAAGGCACGCGATGAGACGAGCACTAGGTGTTATACTATGTTGGCAAATTGAATTTAAAGAAAATCTAAAAAACAAAAAAACAAACAGTAGATGAAAATGTTTCAGAAATCACCCGATGACAGGTTGAAAAAGCCTAAAACCCCAACCCTACCGGCCCCCAAGGAGGTAATTATGCGGGAGGGAAAGGTCAGGAAACATGAAAAAAGAGGGAGAGGGCTGGGAAGCCAGGCGCTGGGCTCCCAGCAGGAGCATGGAAGAGCAGGTGCACGCACTGACCCTACACCCACCGCGTCCTCACACACTTCCCTGCAGGAAATGCAGGCGCTGCAGTGCGCGGCGGGAGGGAACGTGAACGTGGAGATGAACGCGGCGCCCGGGGTGGACCTCACCGTCCTGCTGAACAACATGCGGGCCGAGTACGAAGCCCTGGCAGAGCAGAACCGCAGGGACGCCGAGGCCTGGTTCAACGAGAAGGTGAGGCCGCCGCCCAGTCCCACGCAGGCCCGCCGGGCAGGTGCAAGCCTGCTCACCCCTCTGCACCCCACCTTCCAGAGCGCCACCCTGCAGCAGCAGATCTCTGACCACGCGGGCGCCGCCACCAAGGCCAGGAACGAGCTGACCGACATGAAGCGCACCCTGCAGACCCTGGAGATCGAGCTGCAGTCCGTCCTGGCAACGGTAGGCAGGCGAGAGCGCGGGTCAGCCTGGATTTAGTGACTTGAACTGAAACCCTCCTCTTCTTCTCTGTTAGAGCTTTCCCTACAAATCCTTAGAGCAGCAGAGAGCAGGGAAGATAGACCCCGAAACACTCAGAAAGAGAGAGAGACTGTGTTTCTTCCTCCCTGGCCCCTTTCACAAAAATAGCTCACGTCTTCACACAGCCCCTTCCTCGGCCCCACAAAGCGAGCAGCAGCACTATTACCCCACCTGAAAATTAAGTGTCAGGCCAAGGTCAAGGTGGCCACACAAGGCAGACCTTAGGAGCCTCCCCAGCATCTCCTCATATTGATGCAGGCCAATGAAAGCCACATGGTGCTTTCCATAAGGTAGAGAAGAGGGTACATATCTGAAACCCTATGAGCACTGTCAGCCTTTTCATCCCCGCTCATCTCACAGAGCTGGGCATTCAGCCACCTTGGCACCTACTGCCAATTATTTCAGAGGTTACCATGGAGACAATCCAGGACTAAAACTGGCTTTCCTTCTGGGGTATGAGCTAGCAGCACCCAAAAAGCCTGATTTTGAGAATTAACGCATATACATGGCCCACGGGTTCCCATTGTCATAGGGGGTTTCATGCTCCCTGAGGACATGAGATTGTAACCCAAAGAGAAGCACCACTATTATACAAATAAGTGCAGTGAGCAGAAAGGGTAAAGATGACCCAAAACTACAGGAAGACCATTTTGCTTTAACCACTCTAAAAAGGTAGAGTGCTCTCTTACCAGATAATGTTTAGATTGGAGACTTGTTTTAACCACGGACTGTCAACTGAACCAGGGTGTGCCCCTCTTGTCCTGACCTTGGTCTCCTCTGCAGGAACCCCACCCTCTCCCTGTCATTTGAGGCCCCTGGAGCCCTGCTCTCTGCCCCGTTCCCTTTGTCCCTGAGACTAGAACCCAGAGGACCTGTGCTTGCTGCTGTATCACTGAGCACAAACTGAGTACAAACCTGCCCTCTCATTTCTGAGATACATTGAAGCAAATAAACTCCTGAGTTCCCAGATCAAAATGTAAGCCCTTTCACATAGGAGGTGATGTTAGAAAGTAGTTAATTCTCTGCAGCCAGGAGTACCATAGTTGGGGCTCAGGAAATAATCTACACAAAAAGCCCATGTTAGACAACATAACAGAATTATAGAATAATGGTGGTGTAGAACCTAACTTCCATACTTGAGATTCATCATAGATGGATTCTAGGCAAGATCTCTATAGTTTAGTACACAAATCACATGTAAGTTGGGAATTGTCTAAATATATAAACTTTCCCTATGCTTCCCATAGTATGCAAACTTGTAAGTTTATCCTGTTCTCTTTCCTTATCTACAAGCTAACCTTTACAGTGAAAGGCTGTAGACAGAGATAGGGATGCTGTCATCTCTGATTAAGAAGAGTAGTAGCAAACTTAAAAAGGAATACCAGATCTGGGTAGCCCAGTGGATTAAACATCTGAATCTTGATTTCGGCTCAGGTCATGGCCTCAGGGTTGTGAGATCGAGCTCTGCTGGGTAGGGAGCCTGCTTAAGATTCTTTCTCTCCCTCCCCCTCTTTCACCGTCTCTAAAAAAAAAAAAAAGAAAGAAATACCACATGAGGACACATCATCAGGGAAATTAATGTTTCGAACAGCCGAGCATACACTTCACTGACATCTTTGCCTCCTCCCCATCACCATTCTGTCCACCTTCCACTCCTTTGCTCTGGAGAGGCCAGCACCACCCATGTAATGCACCAGTCGGCCCATTTAGTAAATCAGTGGTTCTTAGCCCCATCCAACCCCATGTCTGCCTGTTATGATGAATATTTTATAACTCCCTCTTTGTCCTAGAATGAAGTCAACAAATGATATACTTAGCAATCCAAAAAAAAAAAAAAGATTTAAAAAACCCCACTATACTGCCATAACTGCAATGAAAAGGAAAACTATAAGTATTTTTAAATAAAATCTATTTAACTTGTAAACACTTAGGCCCAAATACCCCAGAACATGTAATGACAGAGACAGAAGCTTACCCCTTCCCTTGACAAATAGTTTTATTTTAAATGATGTAATATCAGGAGTGGCTCCATGCAAGAAGAACAGGAAAATGAGAGTGTGAATGGGGGTGGACACTCAGAAAATAACTAATATCAGGAGAAGAAATAACCACCCAGATGTACTTATCTATGGTAAGGGGAGAAGATAATTACTTTGATTGGAGTAGACATCACACGACCAGACAGATGACAGCCTGTCCAAGTGGAAAGGAGAAGGTGTAATATCCGTAAGAGTAGTGTGGAAATAATGACCTGTACTGTGCTATGAATATATCTCTTGTGTTGAAAGCCCACCCTCATTAAGACATTCATTCTTTCTCAAGTACTCTATAAAAGGCCTTTCTTTGAATAACAACAGCAAATCCGGAACAAATCAGAAAAGGAAACAGCACACAAGGCCTTGGAGCAGTGGTGGGGTAGGTCTCTAGAGACAGTGGCAGAAAATGATCAAAAAAACAAAACCAACCCCAAAGTAAATATGTAATGTCAATATATAAAATTTCCAATATGATTTCTTATGGCACTATCCCCTCCACCAAAAGATTTTTTCTCTGCATGATAGGAAATATTACCTAAATATCACAAAAGTCCAACGAAACAGTCAAAAGTCTCATGGGTAAGGGCCATTTATGCCATATCAGGTCATCCAGCATGCCGCCCCTCCACCCCATAAATGCCTGTGACTTCCCCTTCCTCTGCACCTCCCATGTTGTTATGATGATCCCCACAGATTTCCAAAACTCACCTAGAAAGCAGTGCTGCTGTTTGCTGAGAAGTGCTGGTCTGCATAGTCCTCCAAGTGGCTTCATCCTTGCTGTGACATCTCTTGTCCTCAGAAACACTCCCTGGAGTGCTCCCTGACCGAGACCGAAGGCAACTACTGCACACAGCTCGCCCAGATCCAGGCTCAAATCGGGGCCCTGGAGGAGCAGCTGCACCAGGTCAGAACTGAGACCGAGGGCCAGAAGCTGGAGTATGAGCAGCTGCTTGACATCAAGGTCCACCTGGAAAAGGAAATTGAGACCTATTGCCGCCTGATTGATGGAGATGGGAAGTAAGTAACACCATTTGAAAATCCGATATTTTGAGATGCCTGGGTGGCTCAGTGGTTGAACAGCTGCCTTTTAGCTTGGGTTGTGATCCCAGGGTCCTGGGGTGGAGATCTGCATCAGGCTCCCCACGGGAGCCTGCTTCTCCCTCTGCCTAAGTCTCTGCCTCTCTATCTATGTCTCTCATGAATAAATAAAACAGATCATAAAAAAAATGAAAATCCAGTATTTTATCAGATAGGTTTTTACCTATCTTAAACCACAACCATGGGCTGTCCATGTTCCATGCCTCCAATCCTTTTCTTCTTCATTCCATCTGCAGTCATCCCTTCCATATTTTGTACATCACAGCCCCTTCTTCATCTGCTTTGGATGACCCCAGTCATCCCTGCAGAAGACCCTATTCATTATCCATGTTAATCATTCTAGGTTTTGAGATTACTCCCCACCAGGCTTTACCCATCTTTCACTCCCTTCCAAATACATTGCTGCCCTCAAATAAACATAGTCTGTGCAGCCCCCAGGATCTATATGTTAAAAAAATAAAAGGTAGGGATGCCTGGCTGGCTCAGTTGGAGGAGTATGCGATGTTTGATCCTGGGGTTGTGAGTTCAAGTCCCACATGGGTGTAGAGATTACTTAAATAAATAAGGGAGGCAGGGCAAGATGGCAGAAGAGTGGTCCCCAAGTCACCTGTCTGCACCAACTTATCTAGATAACTTTCAAATCATCCTGAAAACCTACGAATTCGGCCTGAGATTTAAAGAGAGAACAGCTGGAATGCTACAGTGAGAAGAGTTCGCACTACTTAAATAAATAAAAAACTTAAAAAAAAAAAAAGGAGTAAGTGCACCTGGGTGGTTTAGGAGGTTAAGCCACTCCAACTCTTGATTTTGGCTCAGGTCATAATCTCAAGGTTGTGAAATCCAGCCCTGTGTTTGGCTCTCCACTGGGCAAGGAGTCTGCTTAAGATGCTGTCTCTCCTTCTGCCCCTCTCCCACTTCTCTCCCTCTCTTAAAAAAAAAGCATTACTTTCATTAAAAAAGTATATATTTATAAATGTATATATAGACTATGTACGTATATCAATATGCATATATATTCTCCTTAGGTTTAAATTCTTGGGTTAGGGCAGCCCCGGTGACGCAGCGGTTTAGCGCCACCTGCAGCCCAGGGTGTGATCCTGGAGACCCGGGATCGAGTCCCACAGGGGCTCCCTGCATGGAGCCTGCTTCTCCCTCTGCCTGCGTCTCTGCCTCTCTCTCTCTCTCTCTCTCTCTCTCTCTGTCTCTCATGAATAAATAAATAAAATATTCAAAAAAAAACAAAGTTCACTTGAGTTCATGTTCATCATTTGACTCAATGAATATTTAAGTGACAAACTATTGTCACTATTAAATGATATTGAAGAATATAGATATATAGATACAGATATAGATATAGATATAGATATATTAAAGAATAAACTGGGATTTTTTTTGCAGCTCATGCTCCAAATCAAAGGGCTTTGGATCAGGAGGCTCAGGGAATTCATCCAAAGGTAATAAAATCTAGTTCTATTTCTACTGCAAGTACTTTCATGTTAATGGTAATCATATAGTGTGGCAACATTTGTATTTAAATAATTTTAATTAGAGTACTCTGAAGTTAAAGTATTACTTTAAGTGGATAAAATTATACTAAACTATTATTATAAATCTACACATACTCTCTCATCAAAGTGTACATAATATGTTATATCACAGCTAGCACTGGAATTCTTCCTCATGTAATCTTTTAGCTGGAATATGTGTATTCACATGTGTTTTATTTCTAGAGTTATCCAAAACCACACTGGTAAAGACAGTGGTTGAAGAGATAGATCAACGTGGTAAAGTTCTATCATCAAGAGTTCACTCCATTGAAGAAAAGACATCTAAAGTGACCAGTGGAAAAACAGAGCAAAAGGTTCCTTTCTAGCCGCCATAGAGAAAAGAACAGTCTGGGAAAGGATCCTGCACAACTACGTTATTCTAAATATCAAGGAAATTTTTTTTAAAACCAACTTTCTGCCCTTAATAATAAGTTACTTAGCAAAAATACTTTTTTTCTTAGCTAATTTTTACAGGTTTTTGGACGTCTGTTTTCAAATAAATAAAAAAGTAGATGTGCACTCCTTTCCATTCACTCATAACCAATAAACAATTATTTGAGTTTTTTTTCCTACATCACAATCATGGGTATACATTTATGGAATCTATTTTAATTGCCTTTCACTCTAGTTTTAAATAATAGTGAATATCATGTGGCACTTAAATATTATTATTCACTAGGCATAATCTTTAAATATCTCACCCTTTTGCATGGACAAATAACTAGGAAAAAAATTAGAAATTCTCCTGTGATTGAAAAGTTCCATCACTAGATGGCGCCTCCTGGAATCTTACCAATGAGCCTATCAAACTTCCTGGGGATCTGGATACTTACCAGGGTTCTTGTTCCCTTATAAACAAGATTAACTCTGGGAAGATCCACAGCATTGAGCCTCCTGTGAATGACTTTTTTCCTAGAGCAAACTTTCTGTCGAGCTCCAGATAGCAAAGCTCAGGCTTTGCAGGTCATAAGGTCTCTTTTTTCAACTACTTGGCTAAACCATTATAGCAGAAAACAGCCATAGACAATCAGTAAATGAATGAACATGACTGTGTTCCAATAAAACTATTTATGGATACTGAAACTCAAATTGCAACTAAGTTTGACATATTATGATATATTATTCTTCTTTTGATTTTTTCCTAGCCATCTAAAAATGTAAAAACCATTCTTAGCTCATGAGCTACACAAGAACAGGTGGCAGACCACATTCAACCCACCAACACCTGGTCTAGAACTTAAAATCTCATGAGGGTGATGAACGTTATGGTTATTGCGTCTTTCTGTTTCCAGATCAAAACGTATGGTAAGGAATCCTAACAAATGTTAAATTCCCTAAAAGGAAAGCAGCTCTCCTATTTCTGTTATGTGGCCTGATTCTAATGAGAAGCTCCAATGAAGGCAGGACTGCTATCCAAAACACAACAGCTTGGGAGTTCAAAGAAGTGACAAAGGATGGGATGTTTACAAAATCCTGAGCCAAAAGGGATCAAATGAAGTTAATACTAGAAATTCATGGGCAAATAATCTCCCAAGTATAGAGTGTACAGGGCTAGCTGCATAATTTGCAGGGCTAAGTGCAGGATGAAAAGTTGGAGTCCCTTGTTCAAAAATCGGGGGGGTGGGGAGTATCATTAAAGGCACTAAAATATGGCGTTTTCCCTATCTTCTGCAGTCATACAGTCTACTTGTCATGTTTTTTTTAAATTTGTCATTTAATATCATTCTAAGTAAATAAAAATTAAAAATTTTAAGTTATTGGCATAAATTTTTCCATTCATTTTTATGTTGAGAAATACCCATTTTAAATTCACAAAAAAAAAAAAAGAACATTTAACTGGAGCACCTGGGTGGCTCAGTTGGTTAAGCATCTGCCTTCAGCTCAGGTCATGGTCCCAGGGTCCTGGGATCCAGCCCCATGTTGGGCTTTTTGCCCAATGGGGAGTCTGCTTCTCCCTCTCCTTGTGTTGTTCCCCCTGCTTGTGCATGCGTGCACACTCGCTCGCTCACTCTCTGTCCCTCAAATAAATAAATAAAATATTTTTTTAAAAAAGAAGAACATTTAACTTGTGTACAGAATCACTAAAATAACACAATTCATATTTTATAGCTGATACATGTGAAGGGAAGGAAAATTCTTCTTCAACTCTACAAAGTCTTCCATCTCCACTAAGAATTAATTTACAGGAGTCAGATTAACAGAAGAAAATAAACAAAGTCATTTATGTGTGCACAGAGACCCACTATTCAATTCGAGACCCAAAGAAATGACCAAAGCTGGCTTTTTTTATACTTTTTAGACAACGAGAAAATTAATCTGTGAGCAGTTGACAGAACAAGGAAAACATAGCTTTGGGAGCTTCAATTCATAAGAAATTCTAAACAGAATTCGGGCTGCGGTAGTAAATCAATAAAAAGTAGCAAGAGTCATTTATACAACCTTCTTGCCTCTAAATTCTCCATCTTCAGTAATAAGGATCTCTCTTTACCTCTTTGTATAGGGAGGGTAAGCTTCACACAGGAAATTTATTTGCTGCTTTCAAGGCAGCAGAGGAGGTCTGAGTGTCCTTCTGTACAGGCTATCCCTTAAGTAGCTTTTATTTAAAATAGTCAATATGCCAGGGACACCTGGGTGGCTCAGTCAGTTAAGCATCTGTCTTCAGCTCAGGTCATGATCCCAGGGTCCTGGGATGCAGCCCTGCATCAGGCTCCCTGCTCAGTGGGGAGTCTGCTTCTCTCTCTGACCCTCCCCCTCATATTCTCTCTCTCTCTCTCTCTCTCTCACTTACTCTCTCTCAAATAAATAAAATATTTAAAAAACATAAAAAATAATATAGTCAATATGCCAAAGTGGCATAGTTTGGGGCAGACTACCCTTGGTTGGCCCCTACACATGGACATGTATTTTGTTCTTACCAAAAGTGGAAACACTGCACCAAACCAACTCAACTGGTTATCTTTCACTCCTTTATCTGCTCCCATTTTACCAACACTAGCCATCACTGGCATAGTGATGAGTAAAAAAAAAGACAGGAAAAGGAACTGTGGGTTGCCCTATCTTTCTATATCATTGTTTTCAGCATAAGCGGTTGGCTCATAAAGGAATGCAACAGTAAGTGATAGGGTTCCTGAGTAGTTCATGTTCTTTAGAACACCACTGCCTTCTTTCTACATTTGAAACAAATTCCATTTGAATGGAAAAGTTCTTGGGGTTGTCAGAAACCCTGCTTACTCATAGACATACTTACCTAGCATGTGCTTTGAGTTTCACCAAACTCCACAGGATGGGTCCACCAGAATGCTGTGCACCTGGGCATTGCATATGCTACATGCTGCTGTAAGGAAAAACTGCAGATAAACATATTTCCATACTCCTCTGCTCAAACTCTTATCCCATTGTCCCAGCAGGCTTCACTTAGAAGACACAAGTTCTGAGATAAAATTAAGAATATCAAGACGGCAACAGAAGAACATTAAATCTAGTATGGGGTCCTTCTGAACATGAAACCTTATGTCCTACACAGGTTTCATGCTGATGAAGCCAGACCCATTTATCAGATGTGCTCATAATACATTGATTTTAAAAACACTCTTCATGGTGATTGGCTTTTCATGGTGTGATATTGTGATTTATAATAAGAAACATATTTTTGTCCCATTCCTGGCACAGAATTACTAAAACGCTTAGAATTTCCAAGGGGTCTAGAGCTATCAAGGTTCTTTTGTGATGTTAATAAGGAGACTTTGGGAAGCTAAAAGGAAACTAAAGAAGAAACTAAAGAAACTTTCTTTAAGGAAACTAAAGATGGGGGATGCTTGTCAGCCAATCATGTGAGTAGAGTATTGGAATTTTCAGTCCCACCCCCAACCCCACCTCCTAGGAGTGGAGGGGAGGGAGTGGAGTTTGAGTTCAATCGCCAAAGGACAATGATTTGATCAATCACACCCAAGTCAGGAAGCTTCCATAAAAACCAAAAAGGATGGGGTTTGCAGGGCTTCCAGGTTGATGACCACATGGAGATTTGGGGAGGATGGTGCACCTGGAGAGGGCACAAAAGTTCTGCACTCTTTCCCCATACCATGCCTTCTGCATCTCTTCCATATGACTGTTCCTGAGTTCTATCCTTTTATAATAAACCAGTGATCTAGTGAGTAAAATGTTTCTCCGAGTTCTGTGAACCACTCCAGCAAATTAATCAACCCAAGAAGAGGATCCTGGGAAAACTTTTGATCTATAGCCATTGGGTTAGAAGCACAGTGATAAGCCAGACTTGAGTTTGGGGTCTGAAATAGTTGAAGGTAGAGTGAACAGTCTTATAGGACTGAACCCTTCATCTATCACCAGGTAGGCAGCATCATAATTGAGTGTGGGAGAATTTTTGCTGGCTTCAAAGCATTGCTTGGTGTGGGGGGAAAAATCCACACCTGGAACTGGAATCAGAGTTGTACTCCCTCAGTAGTATAGGGAGCACACATTGCCTTTGTGGTACTGGTGCTGTTGATGTGACAAGATTAAAAAGAAAAGCAAATAACTCTAAGTCATCGTTTTTAAAAAAAGAAAGAAAGGAATTACAAGTCATATGCCCCCCACGCAGCAAACCAAGACTTAATTACAGTTTCGACCTCTTCCAGGAATGTGACCTTTTATGAGTCAATCTGAAATTTCCTGATCAGCACTGGTGAGGTCATCTGCATGATTTAAAAAAAAAAAAAACTGTGTTTCCCTTTCCTCAGAAAAGAAGAAGTAACCATCCTTTTCTTTTTTTTTTTTTTTCTGTTGCTAATAACCTCTTGCCGCACCCTCCTTCCTAAAAATCCTCCCGTTTGGTACAGCTTGTCATAGCATCTCGCTATCTGTAACAAAGGATGCTGCCCAATTCATGCATCGCTTAATAAAGCCAATTCAATCTTCAAATTTACTCAGTTGAATTTCGTTTTTTAACAATTTCTTGCCAAGGGAACCAACCAGAATTCCTTGTGTATCTATTTAGCAAAGGAACAGATGTAAAATTAAATTCTGGGTGTCTCCTTTATATTCTGTTGAGTTCATAGGATTGAAGGAAGTATCCCATCCTCAGAACTTAAGTCTTAAATCTGTCCTTCCCTTCAGGGAGAATAAGAATTCATCATGGCCTCTTGGTCTATGATTTTCCTTTGCTCAGCAGAATTATGGGGCTCCTGAGTTTTTCAGGAGTTCTACTAATAATTAACATATTTTCTCCAAACCTTGAAGGTTGCTTTTTGCTGTGGTGAGTTTCTACACTGAAGGTACCTCCAAGGAGTCAGTTGCCATCTGAAGGAGAAGGACTTCAGATACTGTGCTTGGGAGGTTGTTAAAGCAGAAATCACAAACTGATATGCTTTCTTTTAACAAACACCCAAGATCTGTGGACGCTCATTACCAGAGAAGTGAATTATTATTTGTTATTGGGTGTTGCAAATGCATTGCTATTGCTGTTTCTCTTTTAATTTTTTTTAATTTTTTATTAATTTTTTATTTATTTATGATAGTCACACAGAGAGAGAGAGAGAGAGAGAGGCAGAGACACAGGCAGAGGGAGAAGCAGGCTCCATGCACCGGGAGCCCGACGTGGGATTCAATCCCGGGCCTCCAGGATCGCGCCCTGGGCCAAAGGCAGGCGCCAAACCGCTGCGCCACCCAGGGATCCCTCTCTTTTAATTTTTTAATCTTTTTGGTCATCATACAGAATTTTATAATACCTTGTCTCATGTATAGATAAATATCCATCATAGGTTTAGAGTTTTACATCTGAGAAAGGTCGTTGTCATGCCAGCATAAGTAAAACTGCCCATTTTGTTTTAGTACTTTTGAGATGATCATAGGATTTTTGTCATATGACATTTTATGCATGTAATATTTGACCATCCTCATTTCCTATAAATAACTCCCTTGGAATAGTATATGCTATTTCATATACTATTGAATTTTATTTGCTAATATTTGATTTAAGATTGTGTATTTCCCGAATATGTCTTTTCTCTGAGAACTGGTTTCCCCTAAAGTTCTCATTGCCTGTGTTTGGATCTTATTCAGTGTAAATATTTTTTTGCTTTTATTTCTAATCCTTTCCTAAGTTATGTCTTCTCATTTCTAAGTGTCCTAATTATGGTTTATGTTGCTTGTTTTTTCTTCCATCATTTTTAATGCATTTTAGATCACTTCGAAATGATAAGTTATACCTTAATTTGTTTTGTTGACATGTCTTTCTGGCATACTTTCATTTTCTATAGAGATGTAACGCAGTTCCTAATTTTTTTTGTTTTTGTGTGCTAACATTTTGTGGGATTTTACCTTAATCCTTTTCTTCTCATTTTTTTTTGTTTCCTTTTTTTTTTATTTTTTTTTTATTTTTTTTTTTATAAATTAATTTTTATTGGTGTTCAATTTACCAACATACAGAATAACACCCAGTGCTCATCCCGTCAAGTGTCCCCCTCCGTGCCCGTCACCCATTCACCCCCACCCCCGCCCTCCTCCCCTTCCACCACCCCTAGTTCATTTCCCAGAGTTAGAAGTCTTTATCTTCTCATTTTTCAAGCAATTCATGTTCCTTAACCTCTAGAATGAGTATAGTTCCGCTAGGCTTTTCTAACTATACATACCTCCCATTTCTTGTTTTTCATCTAGGGATCAAAAATATATTGGCTTCAGGATCCCTGGGTGGCCCAGTGGTTTAGCGCCTGCCTTCGGCCCGGGGTATGATCCTGGAGTCTCAGGATCGAGTCCCACATTGGGC